TTCCTTTTCCTTTAGTTCGTTGTCAGCGTCGTGTTTGGGTGCCTCGTGGTTCACGTGCGTTTGGTCTGCGGTGCCCTCTGTCTTGTAGAACCAGCGAGCTCAGACAGACATGCGGTGGGTGGAATCTCCTGTTTGTGACTTGGGTCGGGAGCGCCTCTGGTCTTGTAGAACCAGCAAGGCTCACCAGCGCGCAGACAGACAGCTGGGTGGAATCTCTGGAGCCGCCGCTTGGTCTTGTAGAACAGCACGCAGACATGCGTGGGTGGAAAGGGGAAACATGAGCTTAGCTGGTGGCTTTCACTCCCTGCTGGAGCTGCATGTGGGTCTGGAGATAGCATGCCTCCACTAACCACATCACAGCAGCACCACACACATCAACACACAGCTCTCAGAGCAAAAATAGTACTTCTGTCACTCTGCACATGGCAGCACGTTCTTATCCCTGGACAGTACCAGTGTGCAGCAGACCTACAGAGGTAGAGCACTCACATAGTCTGTGTCAAATCCCATCCAGAGAGCAGCTCTTCTTTTGGAATCAGAGCTATCCTGGTGTAGTTGACTGTTGCTTTGCCTGACACTTCTACTCGTTGCATGACATCCGTATCGAGGAAACATACGGCCATCTTGCTCGTTGCCATGCTGCACTGCTCTCATGTTGAGAGCTGTGTTGCAGGGAAGTTGATATTGTTCTCTGCATCCTGATCGAATCTAGCCAGTGGTCTTAACCACTCTGTCCAAACTGCAGAGTCACTGCAGTGTGGTAGGGGCTGTGAATCCAATCAGGAAATTGTTCAAAGTTCACCAGAGAGTGTGCTAGTGAATAGCCTCCTGTCACCCTTTGGTGACCTTCCTGTGTCCACATTCATTGGCTGTCACTCTGAAAACTAGACCTGACCAGTTGACATTCATACACCCTCCTTCCCGCATGCCAGATGTCGGGATTTTCTAGTAATCTAGGCAGTAATCTCTAGTAATCTGGTGTCAGCAGACCCAGCACAAGCTTCAAAAGGCTGGGCAGCATACAATGACTAGATGACTATGAATATCTACAAGTTGATTAGAGATGGCCTATAGGTATTTTTATGGGGACAATTGACACTCAGCTATAATGCTAATGAAGAGAACTGCCACATGTGTGAAATCTGCATGGTTCTGTTACCCTTCCTCTGGTGTGATAGGATCAGGACACCTTACTCCAACCTCATTCAATCACCCGAAAGTGTTGCATTACTACATACCAGTCGGAGTATAGTAGTGGTGGTTTTGGGCAGTATATACTACAGTATATACCATCCCGAGGATGTTTGGTTTGCCCGATCCTCTCTATTATAGTTTTCCATTGTATGTTCACACGCAAGGTTATTACTGTACGTGTAGGAGCTGGAGTGTTGCTACTACGTATGTCAGTGAGAGATAAGGCTAATAGTACTCCACGTAGGGCTATTACGGTGCAGTATGTGCAGCAGGTACGGGTAGCGTGGCGTCCATCTCTGGACACCATTATTTGAATGTAGACAGCTGATGAGAGGGCCAAAACAAAATAGAAGTTCTTGGATTCCATGTATTCTCAAGATAAATGCTTTATCTGTGGAATCGTGTAGGCGTCCCACGTTATGCTGTGATTTCCAAAGATCCTATACCGTGCAAAGATTGGCAGCATCTGTTAGTTGCCACTGGGCATGGCTTAGTATAGTAGCTGGGATGGGCATGGTATACCATAAAGTATGTATGGGACAATGTGAGACATAAGAACAGTATTAATCATGTGGGAAACAATGCACTATTTGAAGTGTCGTAACTTGATTCCGCTGCATGTACAATGGTGTCACCTTTCATCCTCTGAGTGTCGCATACTTCTATCCATTAAGACCCATAGGAGTGTGTGTTGGCTGGAACATGCATTATACCCTTTTGTGATGTGTGGGGTATAGGTCTGTGTACATTATCATGTGCTGGGAGCTCAGTAACTGAATCGGGAGGGGAGATGGTGCTAAGTGTTGACTAATCACTAGTACTTAGTATATTATAGTAGGGATGACACGGGTTGTATTGAAATTGGTTTTGTGTGTGCAGTGTCCGTTTGACGGTTGCCCCTGGAGATTTGCCACGCCTTACAAGCTTCGCCGACACATCAAGAGCCACACGAAGGAGACACCTTTCGTGGTGAGAAAAGGGTTAAATGTGAGAAGAGAGAGGGGTTAAGGTGTGTGTGAGAGAGTGAATGACAAACACATTTTCGTATTATGCATGAATTTTAGGATGGTGTACATAGGCAAGAGTAGCGTGGGCTTTTACGGCATGCCCTCAGATCTGAAGATACATGATATTACCTTTAAAATGGATACTCCCAGAGTACAAGTTGTAGATTATGTAATTCTAAACATTTGTACTAGCGGTCACGGATTCCGATTGCTCCATATACTGTCTGTACTGAGCCTCATTAGCGGAAGTTGTAGTGGCTTTGTCTCCATATAGCTACCGGGAGTTCAAGTTGGAAGGCTGTCGTGTTTATCAACACACTACACGTGTCTGTCCACTACTTGAAATAATAACCAATCAACCTTCATTTTTTATTTCCCTGCTCTGTTTCTACCTCCTTTACCTCCTGCTCTCTCCATTCTTTTCTCTTTTCTCTTTTTTTCTCACGATCTCGCTCCAACTCTCCCTCCCTCTCTTCCTCTCTCTCCCCCTCCCTCCCTTCTTTTCTCTCTTCCCCGCTCTCGTCCCTACTTTCCCCTTTCCTCCTCTCTTCCTCCCTCCCTCCCTCCCTCCCTCCCACCCTCCATTCCCAGTGCAAAGAGTGTGGAAGAGGATTCAGTGTTCGCTACAACCTCCTGATGCACATACAGACCATTCACAGTCAGCCGCAGAAGTTCAAGTGCCCCATGCCAGGCTGCAAGGAGGCCTTCCACACACAGCCGCGACTCAACGGCCATCTTCGCAGAGTCCACAAGAAAGACTGGAAGACAATGTTAGTAGCACACAGACGCACATTCTTAAAACTTAAAAATCAGCGTGACCGTGACATCATCACTAGATTTTCCCTGCATGGCGTAACGTAGCAACTGAGGTAGCAGAATGCGTGCGTATGGATTGAGAGGAACAAAAAGAGGGGAGAATGCAGGCGAGTGCGTGTTGCATATGGACTTAAAGAGAGAGATATGGATAAGTATGCAAATGAAAGGGGGGAAGTGGTGGTATTTCCAGTGAATGAGGTGGTGGGTGTGTTATGTCTAGCGGGCCATACCAACTGTGTGTGTGTGTGTGTGTGATGTAAACCCTGCAAGGAATCTGTTACTGAGGGTTAATCTCTTTATTACTTGCTTGTGTGTGTGGGTGTGTAGGCAACTTCCTAAGCCTGAGACGGAGAGTAAGCAGACGGCCAGCGGAGAAGGAGGAGGAGGGAGCAGGAGTAGCAGCACTAGTAGTGATGACTCTGTGGACACAGCACCAAAGACTCAGAGCAGGTATATAGGGGATGGGGACACGTTAATGTGTGTATGTATTGTCTATAGCGTATTGTATGTAGCTGGAAGGTGGGAACTGAAAATGTGCCACTAAAGAACTGTGTGTATGCTTTTGGCCTTTAAGTATGTAGTCCATTAACAGTGAAACGTCCAAATAAGGATACTTGGTTCTGCTTGGCTCCAAGCATGTCCACCATGGAAGTAGTTGTAATGATTGCCAAGTCTGCACAATGAGACTCTAGTCGACAACAAGTCCCTTTCACGCCACTTTCCAGAAACCTGCTACTTCCTATGCTACTAATTTATGTTTCAAGAAGTCCGTGCCACTTATTCTGCTGTTGCGTGTGTGAGTGTATCTGTGAAAAAAGATGCCGCACGTTGTGTCCATAGTTCGGAGGTTCCACGTATTATGTATGTTGTGCAGTCTAGAAATGACGGCATACTGCCATTATCTGCAGGTTTGAGTGCGTGCAGTGCACAGCGCCTTCTCGTCTCAGAGCCAAACTTACCGCTCGCACTCCTGAGTCTCACTCCACTCAAACTGTCGTTCAGTGCCACCGTCCAGAGTACGTAGCTATGTACTTGTCTATACATGCTGTACGGAATGTCGTCTGATTGATCACTGTCGGGGTCCCACCTTCACCTCTGCAAATATGTTACACAGAAAGAATAGTACACTACCTGGCTATTTGGGGCATGTACACTGTATTGGTCATTACACCATACACTGATGTGTGTCACTGCGGCTTACAACCGATGTGTGTACTGCTACCGAATGGTGTGTACTACTGCGTACCATACGCAATGTGTGTACTGTACTGCGTTAACACAAACGAATGTGTGTACTGCTGTCCACGACTGTGTGTACTAGCGTTTACACGAATGTGGACTGCGTTACAAGAATGCGTGTACGGTTACACGAATGTGGTTACTGGTTACACGAAGTGTGTACTGCGTTACACGAATGTGTGTACTGCGTTACACGAATGTGTGCTACTGCGTTACACGTATCTACACATCTATGTATGTGCTATACCATACTACACCCGTAACTCACACTATTCTATACTCTTCTTCACTCCAGGATGTACACAGCGCGTTCCCCACCAGGAGAAGAGCTGAGGAGCACACGGAGATCCACAAACAGCAGCCGAATCAGTCTGCTGTCCGCACGAGAACTGCAACCGCGTGTTTCTGCGCTAGGCCCACCTCAAGAACCACCTCAAGTCCACGCCACACAACTACTGTGTGTGCCCGTGATGGGCAGTGTCTGGTGCTGCACTCACTCTATATTAGTATGTGTTGCAAGGACAGTGAGTTGGGACGCAGTGGCTGATGTAGCTGCTTCTAGGAGTTGGCTGCGGCAGGAAAATAATATTGATACATAGCACTTTTGAGTGCATTTAACGTGTTCGTTAAAAGGATCAACTCAAAATTTTAACAGAATAGAAATGACGTTTTCTATACACTTTGACTTTGCACAGGCAATGCACCATTTGCTTCAATATGGTTTTAGTGGCCAGTGACAGATGGAATCGTGATCAGTAGGAACATGGTGCTCATTTTCAGCACCCACGCACTCATGTATTGATGGATTCATGACATGCTCTATTCTCCATTGTACTTCTCTCGTCTTCTTCTCTCCCTCCTCTCCCTCTCTATTCTCACCACCTCCCTCCTCTCCTCCTCCCGTCACTCACTGCCGACTGCCAACGAGAAGTTGCCTCGAGCAGACTCACAACGTTCACCCCAACACACACATGACTACAGACACAAGTGCCAGGTGGCCGGCTGTGACACGCCTCTCGCACTCGCAAGCGACTGGAGCTCCACTGTCGGTCATGCATGGAGTGAGCTACAGAGTGAGTCGTCATCACGATGATACTCCCTCAGAGACTATCATGGATATTCTCTGAGTAGTAGTATGTACGATACCTACTCCCATACCAAATTTTCGCTTAATTGCGGTGAGCAAAAATTTCAAAAAATAACAGTGTTTGTTTGTAAAAAAAATAATAAAAAAAAAAAATAATAATTTTTGTAAAAAATAAAAAAAAACAAAAATTAAATCAAAAATTTTCTCTGTAAAAAAAAACCAAAAAAAAAAAAACGTGCTCATGCCTGCACTTACACACTCACTATTATACTCTTAATAATACCATAATCGTGTATACACCTCTGTAAAAGAATGTGATGCATAACTGATGCATGCCACTGGTAATAGCTCTGTGTAAGACCAGTCAGTGCTGACCCTCTGAGTGCGGAGTCAGCAACATGTCTGGTAACTATTCCCTGCGTGATGATTGCGTGCATAGTCATCCTGTTATCGGCAGCGCACACTCTGTGTGGCTCACAGCTCTTATGACGACCACACACTCGTGAATGAAGCTCAGAATAGTTGCCACGGTACGCTCACCGGTCCTCTGTAGCGCAGTTGTCCAGAGTTGCAGCAACAAGTGCGCGCTCTACACTGTTGTGATATTATGCGTATCGATCCTACACAGCGCAATGCAGAGTTGGTAATTTGTTTTCACAAACTCTAGAAGCAAGGACACGGTCATGAAGTCACTATGGTACTCCATACGGCTTACACCAACTGCACCGTGTCCCGGAATATAGTAGCTACATACTGGGTGTAGGTGGTTGTACTGAGAAAGTGTAGCTAGACACTTGTGGCTACTGCGGGCTTTCTGGGTAGCTCTGCGGCTCTCAATGTGTGGCTGTTGTGCTTTTGTATGAGAACTCTCAGGTTGAGGGTGTTTGTCTATTTGGGCAGTTTGTGTGTAGAGACACTGAAAGTGAACTGTTGTTGTTTGCCTTAACTGTTGCCGCAAGAATAGCATGCTTACACATATCTTGGGATTCAGCAACATCTGCTGTTCTATTTTCAGGTGGGAAGCTATGAAAAAACCGTTATGTCATTGTTACAAAAACACGGCATTGCCTTCCAAATATACACAAACTGGGACTTAGTTTGAAGATATTCATAGCAGCATAGGGATGCTAGGTGTGGGCGTTTTTCCTGGAGACCAGGATATTGCGACAAAGGGTATTGCCCACAGCCTGCGAGGTCTATAAAACTGAGGCTAGTTAGTCAGTTGGCTCAGAGCAGCTGAGGATACAAAAGACAGCATTAGTCAAGAGCCAAGAGAAAGTGAGAGATAATAATCTCCTCCAATATTGAGGGTTCCAAAGCTCTAAGTATAGTGTGAAAAAGTGTGGGTGATAGAACTAATACAGACCCCAACACACACAAAACTAGTCGTAGTTTGACTCAAGAGAAGAAGCAGAACACATTTTGTAAGAGCAGAGAGTGATTGCAGGGAAAACCGGTGTACCCGTGGTATGCATACAACCTCCTGGGCACTTGCTAACGGCTATCAACACTCGTTCAAAGTACCGAGATATCCACCCAAACGTTTCCATACACACTGTAAGTATAATAGGATGAGGCCAGAATGAGCCTATAATCAGCCGGTTTTGCGTGCCAAGAGCTTACAACCTTTGCCAGAGTATATACCCACTATTGCAAGTGGAGTATATAGGTAAAGTGCTGTGAGAGGCATTAGTGACCACTTAATTAGGGGTTTAGAGCTAATCAGTTTATGGACAGACCCCAAATTACCTGTGATGGCTTGGCATTAATGAGGCTCAGGTGTTAGTTGACCTCTTCTTCCTCCTTGCAGGTCACCAATCCCTCCTCCCAGTGGCACTCGGTCATGGCACTCCCCTCATCCCGCCGCCTCACTCCCACCACCAGCAGCCTCACTCTCCCCCCACCAACCACTCCCCTCTCCTCGCCCCCGGATGCCCACTCACCCACGGCAACAGCAACGGTGGAAACAACTTCTTCAACATGGAGGACGGAATCTGCGAGGTCGACCTCCCCGGACTCAGCCCCGACGAAATCGAGACAATTCTCTCGGAGAACTCCCACTGGACGTCCGGGGAGCAGTTCAAGAATTTCTTCCACTCTGCCGTGGAGTTGAGTGAGATGGAGGCCAAGCTGTTCTCGGCCAGCGGCTATGAGTCCGACAGCGGATACTCCACGTACGACGTCAGCCCCATCACCAGCTCCGCCCCGCTCCAGTTCGGTGGTTGTCGTCCCGAAGTCTCGACAGGCTACCGCTCCATATCCCCGGCACTCACCCCCGTCAACCCCAGCACCTACATTAGCCTCTCGTCAAGCAACCCTTTCCAGTTCGGTGCCGGCGGACACCCTCCGATGCACATGTCTCTACACTCAACCGCCAACAGCGGGAACAGTGGGACTGGACACACCCCCACCACCCCTCTCCCTCCCTCAGCCACCAGTCCCGATGGAGATTTTGCCTTCTTCCCGCCCGCTACCCCCTCTTACCACCACCACCCGACAGGCCCTGCCATCATACCCCCCACCAGGGAGACGGCGGCGTACATGATTCCCGGCGGCCACAACGGATTCCCCATGCCACCGACGACACCGCAGCACCACCAGAGAGAGTTCCATCTCACACAGTTCCCCACAGCCGGAGTCCTCCCCGAGCTGAGACAACAGCAACAACCAGAATCGTACGATATCGATTTCCCAGACATTCTCAACGAGACCTCGACGGCCGGTTCCGGCCAGGTTCAGTGCAGTGGTGGAGAGGCAACACAACTCGTTCTTCCGCTCCACCACCTCTCCTCCTACTCAGACCAGTCCTGTGGTGAGGTCAAGATGGAGATTGAACACAAATCCTGCCCGAATGCCAACAAAACTGGCAATACTAGTCCCTGCTGGCAAGCTCTGACTCCCACGGCCTCTCCAACCGCACATTACCCCAACACCTCTTCAATAAAACTCGAGATTTTACCCGAAGCGGCACAGGTCTCCTGCACACTGATTCCAGTCAACCTCACAACCGCCACCTTACCACGGCGGGAGTCAACATCTGAACACACTCTGCCTAATTCGAACACCCGCCGCAGTATCATCTTACATCAACCTTCAGGCCTTCCTCACTCAGCTGCTCGAACTACCCCCACTACGAAGCTGGTGACCTCCGACTCCACCCTACGGTGTGTTGTAGCCGTAAGCACTGCTCTAGTTGCAGTCCGGGTGACCAGACACAGCAGGTGTGTATCCACGAGATGAAGGTTAAAGAGGACCGTACGACATCCCCGACTACACTCCCTGGTTACCAGTTTAACCCCTCAGCAGCTGAGAAACTGGGTACTCTCCGGATCTGGTCTCGACGCCCGATGCCTTGCCACGCAGCATCTGGAGGCCTCGCCGCCGCACCAGAGGCAGAGGAACAAACGCAGCAAACACCACCACTGCCACTCATCATCATCGAAGTCTAAATTTCACCAAAAGACACGGGGAACAGCAACGGAATAGTAGTCCAGAGCAAGACATCGGTCAAGGCATCCATACACCGTGAATACCTATTCCTCAAGCACAAGTCCGTGGGGAGGGTGGGGCTGGCTCTGACATGAGACTGGCCACAAGAAGAAACGCAGTGGCCGCGCTCCATGACAAGGCTAACCTACTGGCCTTCCGGGACACATTCTGAACAGTTTGAAGCGGGACAGGAGGAGGGACAGGACCATGTCAGTGTCACAGGAGGGCTCTCCGAGCCACGTTTCCATGCGTGACTTCCCCGGTTACAACATGGACTCAAATCGGTGTGGGGTGGACACCCGACGTTCCGACTCAGGTGCGCTGCAGTAGCGACCGGCCCGATTCCCTTCACTCACAATGAGTCAGTGCAGGGACGCATCCTGTCACCGAGTCACTCACATCGAAAGAAAAACAAGACCCACAGTTATGGCCGGAGCAACGTCAGAATACTCTGCAAGACACGTTCAACTGACGGGTGGTCTACGGGAGATGGCGGCAGAAAGGCATGTACTGCGCGCGAGGCCCTGCACCCCGACCAAAAAAAATGCGGGAACAACGCGGACATGTGCGTGATACTCCTCTACAGCTATAGAAGAAAAGAGGTGTGCTGAGCCTCCCTGTCTCTTCTGCCTCTCGGAGGGTGGACAGCGGGATTGCTAGGGGAAGGATTCTAAGTGCAGCACAAACAAGTAAGTGCGGAAAAAATACTTCCCCTCCACAAACGTCTCACAAAAGTTCCTACAAAAGTCCTTTCCATCTCTTAGTAATCCGTCCATCCCTCCTCTGCCTCTCTGGTCTCAACGGATTCTACGCTCCTGGGGTCTCGACGGGGGTACATATACATCTCTAGAAATTACATATAAATAAAAAGTTCTTCCATATCTAAAAAAAAACAGCAAGACAACTCTACATGCAAATGTCTAGTTTGCCGAAACGCAAACAAAGGCTGCATGCTTTCTTCACAGCTCTGCTATCTCGTGCAGAAAATAAGAAGAACCAAGAACAGCACATGCGTTGGTAAATCCTCTTTCTTCTTCCGATTGCTCCTCTCCTCCCAGGATCGATGTCGTCAGCATGTCGGGTACTGACTTCTACTATCTCTTCTCTTTCGCATACCTCCTCACCGGAGTCGACCCTAGCATAGTATGCCAGATGTGACTTGTAAGAAGCGTTAGACACCGATGCAGTCTCGCTGGGATGAGCATTGGAGGTGTCTGAGAGAGTGCCTAGCGCAGCCCTTCGGGATCCACGGCTCGTACGAGCAGGTGAGCTTTGGTGGCAAGTGGGTTGGCGCATCTACAACGCCAGGTCCCTGCGCCACGGATACGTGACTTCGCCGCTGGACAACATGCAGGACTTGGACTCCATCCCGGACTACGCTCTCTAGTGCGAGCTGGTCAGAGAGGACAGTACTCGAGAAACAAAGTGCGAACAGCGGGCGGGGCGAAGAAACCATGGGGAACTGGTGAAGCTATGCCGCAGGTCACAGCCGGGTGGGCGCATCCCCGTGCCCGCTCGCGTCCACATGTCAGCTACGTCACAGGCGCGATATGCCATTGCGTTCGTCTCGCCACGTCAATGCGCCAGATCCGCCCCAGTCTAGCAGTGCCTACAGATACGGGCCCGAGACTTAAGGTGTAAACAGCAAGGAGCACCTATTACACCTTTGACAACCACCATCACACCACCACTGTAACCACTCGTCTTCTTCTTCCTCCGGCCATCACCGGTGGGGGCCGTACCTTGCTCCACCATGGCCGCCGTGGCCAGCCCTTTAACGATGAGCATCACAGCATTGCCAGTGTCGAGTCCTTGCCCACAGAGCCCACACGGCTGCATCGTCCCACTAGAAGATGGTTTAGAGTCTGTTTCCAACGCACCACCGACCCACTGCTCCCTGGTGGCTCAGATATACACTCACTGGTAGACAATTCTCGGATTTTCAGTGACCATTTGCAGACATACCTCCGCGTATGTAAGCATTTGCTCACACTCGGATTATTCTCATGTTGTCCGTTTCGTTCGCTGTCATTTTTCTTGCTAGGTTGTTGTTAACGTGTAGTAGGATTGTCAAATTCATATCACATCACCGCATCATTAATCACACATGTGTAATATACATTCCTACCATTTCACTTATTTTTACCTTTTATGAAGTCCAGATCAAAAAACTAGTGCAAATTTTGCATATCATGAAAAACCTTTTAAAAATCACAGCTCATCACAACCTTGTGACATGTGTGTGCTGTATATAAAAGCGGCAATAATGATATGCATTACAATCAAGAACACAGATGATACGAATAGAGTGAGGGATAATAATTACAGAAACTCACTCAATCACATTAGAATACAAATCTTTTCACAAACTGAACCTTTGTGTGGTTATGATGCATGCCTCACTAGTACAAAACATTAAGTAAAGACCATGCTTAGATGGCAATTCAAGTAACAGACATTTCATTTTTAAACCTTTAGTTACGTGTTGTTCACTTTTTTCTTCTGCCTTTACCCTTCCTTGTTTTCCCGCCACCTGTACCCGACCCAGAGGCATTGCTGGCAGCAGCTCGTTTCTTAGATTTCCCCGAGACACTTCCACTGGCATACTTCTGCTCGAGTTTGTCGAAAAAACTGTCCATTTCTTGTCACAGTGACGATTGCTTTGCCTTAATCAGAGCAGACAAGTCGCCAGCTGCAGAAAATTTGAAAGAGCTCAATTTTTAAAATTATCACTCGCCACATCTCACTCGACTCTTCCCCGTCAAGTTTCATCTTTTTTGCCTCCTTTGCTTCCTTCTCGAACCTAGCCTTCCTCTTTCTCTTCCTCTTCTCCGGTTCCGCCGAGAACTTTTCAAAGTCGGGCAGAGCCCCGTCTGCAATCCAGCCCTGCAGCAGGGCAGTGTAGCGAGGCTCGTCCTCCACACTGGAACAGAGGACCTGGGGGAACAAGCCACAGAGTCTACTTCCTGCTGTATGCACAGATTTTCTGCCATTGTCTCAGTTACCTACCGACCAAACTCCAATTGTGAGATTTTTTCCTTTTGCATTTTGCCTCTTTAAAAGAGAAGGGACCTTAGGAACAAATCATAAAGTCTACCTTATGTTGCATGCTAATAGATTTTCCGCCATTGCCTCAATTACCTACCAACTTCAATTGTGACACTTTTCTTTCACACTTCTTGTTTCTTAGCTAAGCCCTTCATGTTTCCTTTCCCCTTTCCATACCTCTGTTCTTCGCCTCATAGTCTTCCATGGAAATGCAATTTCAGTGTTCGATGGAAGGGTCATCTCGTGTACAGCCTTTATGTTCACCACGTGAACCTCTCTTACTCAGCACCTATCTCTCCCTCATACTGTAGATTGCTCTTTACTCGCCCCTCCCCATAAGAGTGCAAGAAGAAGGATTATTCTCTCAAAGCATTCAGTTAGAGCTGGCAATATCTGTGCTCAGGCAACAAAGTTTCCGCATTTCGCATACCTTTTTGCACTGCCTTCCTACCCACTGTTTGTCTTGTGACGTTATGAGCACTTCTATCTCCTGTATTTTGCTCGTTAATTATGTGCAATTTACGGATAAAACTGCTTGGAGGCACTGTTCTCTTTCACAGCCTTCATTATCCTCACTCTCTCAGTCAAACCCTCACTTCTCCCATGATGGCATCCATGTCTCCCTCGTGCTGCAGATAGGCTCTCCTCAGGTCCTCCATCTCTTCCTCCGAACCTTTGTACTTGTCCTCAAATGACTTGATGTCTTCCACTGTGATCTTGGGAAACAGCAGTCTCCAGTAGTCGCTCCAATCTCTATCCTATATACACACAGGGAGATATTGGGAACATACAGTGAAACATAATTCTGAAGGATGTCTCTCTATACTACCTCCAAGTAAGGGACACCTCTGAATTAAGGACACTTGTCCGCGTTCCTAAGGTGTCACCTAAGGGCATGGTTGCATGCAACTTCCAAATGTGTGGGTATGATGGGTCCACGCAACATCTTGGACGCAATAAGTTTGTTGTATGCTCATGCAAGTTTGTTGCATGCTCACACAACAAAGTTGCACGGTGTATAATGCATGGCGTTTATTCTGAGGCAACCCTGCAACAGGTGTATATTAACCTGGTCAAAAATAGAGCTATCCTCGTCAACTGTGCCATTCTCATCATAAATGGCTCGCTTGTCCTTGTCGGTCAGTATGGAATATATCTTTCCCAGCGTCTATATCAACACGAACAATAGCAATATTAATTATTACACTCAAGAGGGGCAATTACTTAGTAAAATTCCAGGGAGGATGCAAAGCGTTTATCAGTGAGGGACGGACGATGGTTTACTCTACTGTTTGCAGGTATATACCTAATTCTATGGAACCCCCACCCCCCCAGCCCCCCCATCGGGTACCTGGAATTTTTCAGTTGCAGAGGCCACCTCCTCGGGACTGGCGCGGTCCGGGTGGACGCGCAGGGACAGGCGGCGGTAGGCGCGTCTCAGATCAGCTTCCTCGGCACTCTTGTCCACCTGGAGGACCTCGTATAGGTCCCGTGAGCCGAACTGCTCCTCTACCGTTTCGAGGAAAGTCGGCATTTTGGATCGCGCACGCGCGCGCGCACAGGGTTTAACGCGCTGTTTTATGCGCATGCTCACATCTGTCCGATCCTCGCGCCGCGCCGGCCGAGCTAGCTAGCCATAGCGTTTTGAGCAAGAGTGCGCAGAGACCAAAGATGAAGTTATACTGCTTTTTATCTCTCTTTGTGAGCGCAACACATTTTTAGCATTGTCAAATTCTTTATGCGAACGTTTCATTGCAGGTTCTTGCCGCAACGGCTGAAGTGCACGGCCGAACAGTAGCCAGCTAGCTAGCTATAATTAACCCTCGGCGCGCATGCGCAGCGAGGGTTACGGTACTTGGGTACGTCTGTGGTGTGTCTGTGTGTCTGTACTCTTCATCTCACTTCTGGAGTGTTCGTTCGTCTCACAAAGGATACCACCTACCGAACGGGCAATGAAGGTCAGAAATTTCAAACGGTTTTCTCTGAAAACGCTCCGTTGCAAAGCTAGAGCGCGAAAAAGCCAATATGCAAATACACAACGGCTTACTACGGGCATGATCGATCCGCGTGCTCTACGTACCTCGGAGGCACCAGAAGATGCAACGCAGGGCGCGTATCGCCTCTCGCATGCTATCTAGTATTGTAGTTAGCCCGCGTCAGACTCTGCACGAGTTGGCAAGAGACCACGAGTAACAGCTAAAACTAAACCCAGCCCATCAATTAGTAGTACGGCGCATGCGTTGACTTACGCGTGCGCGTCCCGCGTACCGTGCGCCGAGGGTTTGCACTTCAGTGCTTTTCATTATTAACCCTCGGCGCGCATGCGCAGCGAGGGTTATAGTACTTGGTTTGTCCGTCTGTCTGTCTGTCTGTCCGTCTGTTACCACGCGCAACAAACAGGTAAAATATCGACACCAACGGGTTCAGCGCTACACTGGCTTGATTTTCAAAATGGCGATTTTCGTAAAAGTGCCGCGTTCAGAAGTTATGGCGTGAAAACCAAGTGAACAAGCCAATATGCTAATTAGAACTAGCTTACCTCGACCTGATCTGCTTGCTCTGTGTACCTCGGAGGTACAAGAAGTCACAACGAAGGGCGTGTATCGACTCCCGCATGCTATCTACTACTGTAGCTAGCCCGTTTCAGACTCCGCGAGCTAAGCGGGAGTAAACGTATACTAGTATAATAGGCCCAGCCCATCAATTAACGGTACCGCGCATGCGCAGTTCGCCGAGGGTTTGCACTTTAGTGATTTTTCATTAACATAGGCTTACCTCGACCGGGTCCGCTTGTTCTGTGTATCTTGAAGGCACATGCAAGAAGTCACAACGAAGGGCGTGTATCCACCTCCGAGATAGGGAAAACCTCTCTACAATGCTGAACACTTGTATCAAACCCATGCTAATACTTTAGTGTATTATTTGACCTCCGAGATAGGGACAACCTCTCTATATACAAGGGACAAAATCATAGTGTCCCTTGTTCGGAGGTTTCACTGTAAATGTGATTATGACTTAATGATGCATTGTTTGCTGCCATTAAAACTGTTTGGGAAAACTTGGGAACGTTGCTTTTCATAAAAAGCACCACCTGTGATGCATTTTGACATACAGTACAAAACTACAAACACACACTTTAGTATAATAATTATACTTTGTATATTATAATTATCCATAAACATAAGTGAACATTCAGACACTTTATAAAACAGACATAATTCCACCAGTATAAACATGTATAATATAGAAACACAGGTAGAAAAAAATAGATTGAAAAAAAGTTTTACAAAAATAATAGATAGTGGTGCTGTGGTTGGGTAGGAGAGAATGGGAAAAGTTGTATATTAGAGATCTATAGATTTATCATGACAGAAGGATGGGAAGAGGAGAGAGAGAGAGGGGGGGGGGAGGGGGAGGGGAAGAGAGTAAGAGAGATAGGGAGAGGGAGAGAGGGAAGGAGGGAGGAAGAGAGGTATATACTACGTGGAGTAGGTCACAGTTCCTCTTGCTGAGGGTCGTGGAAACTAGGGTCGTTCTGTGAGGAGGTGGGGGAGGGAGTCTGTAACTGACTGCGGCCAAGCACCGTCAGAACATTGTCCACTTTGTCTAGAGCCTCGAAGAAGGGGATTAGGTCGAGCAGTTCACTGTCGTTTGGGTCATCAAACCACGACGTCACCGGGACCTGCAGAAAAAACAGGGACGGAGTGAGAATTTTAACTTTTGAGAAAACATTGCGAAACGTGTGGTCTTGAAGAAAGCTGTAAGCTGTCACCGTGAGGAGGTCAAAATTACTGGACAGTCCATTAACAAATGTCTATACCGATTTAGATGGCGTTTCACTTGTCGCAAGAAAACGCAAACCAACCTATCCAGATGTCTGCATAGTGCATATATAGCTGCACAAAGAGGAAACACTCCGCCCCCTTTTGAGGGACCCACACAAACAGGAAGTACTTACGTAGGTAGTACTGTATTCATGGCCAGTATCCAAGGGTAAGAGCTTTGAAATCAGTGATAGCGTTTTTCCGGTTGGTTCTTCATATAAGACTATGTTTTGAGTCATGAAATCTGCTGGTCAGCATTTTTCATTGTTCTTAGCTCGTAATCCATGTTCATAACCTGTTTTTCTTATGGCATACTATGCATTGAGTAACCAACAACAAATTTCGTGACTCAAAACTTAGTCTTACATGAAGCATAGTAACAAGGGTTTTTCCTATCCAGCATTAACATTTTGTGTGTTCACCATTAGTGGTGACGCTTGGTCTGACACGACAGTCGTACATTGCGAGAAGATTTTTGGGGCATTCTCTCTTTCTCGTATTCTTTGGCTAGTGTGCTATAGACATGTTGTTTCATGTAATGGTGGTGGTGTGTAAAACCTGACATGCGCGTTCTTACATACTCAAACATACACAGATGTAATGCTGCGTGCTGACATGTTGTTTCATGTAATGGCGGTGGTGTGTAAAACCTGACATGCGCGTTCTTACATACTCAAACATACACAGATGTAATGCTGCGTGCTGACATGTTGTTTCATGTAATGGTGGTGGTGTGTAAAACCTGACATGCGCGTTCTTACATACTCAAACATACACAGATGTAATGCTGCGTGCTGACATGTTGTTTCATGTAATGGCGGTGGTGTGTAAGACCTGACATGCGCGTTCTTACATACTCAAACATACACAGATGCAATGCTGTGTGCTTGTCTGTCACTTACTGCATTGTCTGGATGAAATATGTAGGACTGTGGAGAATTGTCGATAATGACCACTTTTCTGATGTCCCTACCTAACCTACTTAAGTCCTGTGGACAGAGCAGAGAGCATAGCATGACAGATACTGTATATATAATGTATCTACTTCAGCAGATATACCGCGCATAAAGTTGGACTGTTACATGAATGTGGTGTGAGGTCATGAGACAATGACGCAAACTGCGTTCAATAAATCCGTAGTTTAATATTCATAATATGGGCTTGAATGGTGTCAACCACAAGGCATCACATGGTCTATTGTTACATGTTATTTTCAGGAAAAGCCCAAGTTCTTGTGTGTGTCCATGGATCAGCAAAGACTCGACTGCACCTTTGGAGTACGTAGGTCTCAGGGCAGTTTGCCAGCCCACACGAACCAGTTTAATAAATCCCCGATGTTCAGTAGTTTACAACTGTACATACTAATGTATGGTCAGTGCCTTTGATATGCCCACACATTCTGCTAGTATATAAGTAAAACCGATCAAGTGGGCGATTCATAATTATGACGTAAGCCAAATTGCCAGATGTAAGTGTGTGGAACACAGAGGCACAGTGAAACCAGGCCACCCCTGAAACGAGGAAATCCCTCTAATATTGCCCTCTAACTCAATTTAACCCCTGAAACGAGGACACCCCTCTAATATTGCTCTCTAACTCAATTCCACCCCTGAAACGAGGACATCCCTCTAATATTTCTCTCTAACTCAATTCCACCCCTGAAACGAGGACATCCCTCTAATATTGCCCTCTAACTCAATTTAACCCCTGAAACGAGGACATCCCTCTAATATGCCCTCTAACTCAATTTAACCCTGAACGAGGACACCCTCTAATATTGCTCTCTAACCAATTTAACCGTGAAACGAGGGACACCCTCTAATATGCTCTCTAACTCAATTCACCCCTGAAACGAGGACATCCCTCTAATATTGCTCTCTAACTCAATTTCACCCCTGAACGAGGAATCCCTCTAAGATTCTCTCTAACTCAATTAACCCCTGAAATGAAACGAGGACCAACGCCCTCCCTAAAATTTCTCTCTAGCTCAATTTAACCCCTGAAAAAGATACTGCCAATACATTTTCTCCTGTCACATAGTGTCCAAATATGTGATTCGGCACGACTAGGTATGTATGTATGGCCATTATACTACCAATAAGAACATATCACTAAGTACGGTAGTACTTAGTATACAAGAAATAAAAAACTCTTTGAATAAAAAGGTGTGGGAATATAGGGATGCATAAAAAGTAAGGAGGACAAGACAGGGATGACCCTAGTGAACATGATGCGGTGTCGTACAATGGGATGATGGCTACATACTTTGAACTGACATTGCTTGCTCGTGTAAAAATTTCCTCCACACAAGCCCTATATTGTCGCGAAGTACGAGTGTGCTCCCTTGTATGATGCACAGCTATGATTATTTCATAAGCACATTAGACAGGTAATACCATCTACTCAGTTTCAGTTGTGACTGCATTGTGTAAAGTCTCAAGCTTCCATGTTGGCTCAACTAACAAAGAATTTTACAATGCGAGTGCGTGCGTGGCCCTCCAGAGAATACCTTTACCATGTCCTCACACTAAACAATTCATGTTGTGAGAAAAGTGGCGACAATACTAGGGCTGTGTGGAGGAACATACACGAGCAAGCGAGTCAGTTAAGTATGTAGCCATCATCCATGTACTACTGCATCACTCACTAGGTCATCCCAGTCTTGTCTCCTTGCTTTTATGCCATCCCTATATTCACAGTTTAAAATTGTTATTGTATTTACTTGCTTGATTGTAATTGAGCACTTGAGCAAATGAAAAGCAATACAGTACAACCCCTCGGCGAACTGAGCATGAGCGGTACCGCTAAATTGATGGGCAGGGGTATTAGTATGTGTTACTTGTGGTGGTCTCACACATAGTAGCATAGCGGAGAGTATGACACTGGCTAGCTAAAGTAGTAGATAGCATGGGGGAAGTCGATACACGCCCTTTCGTTGTGATTGTTGAGTGCCTCAAGATACACAGAGCAAGCGGCCCCGGCTCCGAGGGTAAAAAGCAACAGTGGGGGTGGTTAATGTGATTAATTCTCCTTCTGTGGGACCTACCACACAACTCTCCCTCCCACACATCTACTCAATGCCTATCTCCATGCAAACATTTCAGACTAGGCCTTTTCTATGCTCTAACTGCCCCACATGTGCAACAATCCCACTGCATACTGACACTACACATTGCCTACAAAGACGTAAAGAACTCGAGTCACAACATTTCACACTGCGAATGTACTGCACTTGAAAACGGGAATGGGAGGTGCCACCAAAGCTATACAATTCAGTCACTCAAAGAAATCGAAGCACATCTTGACGGCAATAGAAGAAGCTTTAAATTGTAAAAACATCTTACACTGAATGCTGCTTGTCCCGCATCATGCAAATGCCCATTCACACACTTTTCATAGCCAAACAACAAAATTTGTGAAAATGTCTCCCCGCATGAAGTTCTTCCGACCACCAAGGCAATGACATCAGGAAATAATCTATATAAGTGGAACCTTGAATAATGGACAGGTTGACCAGGCGTGGTGTCCTTGTAGGGAGGTTGGCCTCTCATTGGAGAGTTAATAATGTACTATAGAGTAATAGAGAGTAGTGCACGTTTGGCGACCTCAAAGTGTTTGTGTCTTTATTGAGAGATTCTACTGTGTTCTTTATGCTGACTGAACTACTTACTTTGACAGAGTTTCACTGTGGAAGGCCACAGGATTCTCTGAGAGGCTTGTACTGAAGGTATTGTGGGGTCCAGGAGATCGGCACTGGGTATGACTACCGCACCGCCACAGATCAGCATGAGATGACGCGAGACACTGTGGTAGTACGAGGTAATGGCGAGGATAGGGGCGTCTGTGCACACGGACCAGTCATTAACGAGGAATGTAGCAGTAGAAGGAAACTAATTCTTGCTAATGACTATAGTCAGCCTAACTATTCAGAGACTTGAAAAACTGCGTCAGCAATGGCTGTCATTTGTCAAAGGGAGAGATGTCAAGCCGAATATCTTTGATTGTCCATGTAGTTCATATCGACCCTGGAAAATTCCCTCCTCAATCCTAGTTCCACTGACAAAACCAAAGCGGCTGGGTAGGGTAATCGTAACCCTCGGCGCGCATGCACCAGCGAGGGTTATACAGTACGTGAAGTAACTGTCCGTCTGTTCGGTACCACATTTCATGCCACCACGCGCAACAATACAGGTTAAAATAGCGACGCAACGGGGTTCAGACGCTACTACACTGGCGTCATATTACTCATGAATGGCGATTTTGAAACAGTGACCGCCGTTCAGAAGTATATGCATGAAAACCAAGTGAACAGCCATCTGACAAATTAGCACAGGCCTTATACACCTCGAGGGTCAGCTGCTCTGTGTACCTGGAGGCACACGAAGTCACAACGAAGGGTGTGGTTGTGTATCGTACTCGACTCCCGATGCTATCTACGCACTGTAGCAGAGCCGCGTGGTCACACTACTTCGCGAGCTACTCTAGCGGGGCGAAACCACGACGTAATCGCCCAGACTACAAATAGCCAGCTCATCAATAGCTGGTACGTGCATGCACAGTTCGCCGAGGGTTTCGTGCACTATAGTGTGCTTTGATATGATCAGGTTATCCTGAAAGAGTTAGTATATGTGTGCTGTATGCAGGTCAAATGTCACTTCCTACAGAAGTAGTCTTGATATGCATGCCATTTGATATTACTTTTCCATATGGCAGCTTTGCTAATACCTAGTCACACAATGTTACCCCGATAATTGCGCGAGCGAAATACGAGCCCATCTAGTCATCTTCATGTGAAATTTGATATATCTATAACAGCAGAAGGACGACGCACATGTACCGCATATGCTTACGTGATTCTAACATACGCGTGAAGACAAGTTGCCGAAATATTGAACTACTCGACCTGTGCCTCGCACAGCATTGTCCATCAGAGAAACAATCGTTCCTGGCTCTCTCACAAACACACGTAGAGTAAAGTAGTTAGTTTGACTAGTTGAAGGACATATTCTATGACGCACTTTCTATGCATATGACCAGAGATAGAACATGTTTGAAATCATATTGTAACAGCCTGAACCTCCCATGACAGACCACCTGTAGGGCCTGCCCATATCACACCACACATCTGTGCTATGGGAAACTCTTAATTCAATAAAGCTAGAGGAATTCATGGCTTGTATGCGAGGCATAGATGATGCCTCAATAACCATTAACAACACTACACATCAGGGTATGAAATGGGAGTCTTGAAGTATAGCTACAGCTGTATAGTGGTGACGTACTGCGACACAAACAGACCGCTGTGAAGAAGTGTGTGGAACTGTAGGAGACTCTATTTGAGTCCACTTGAGACGAGTTGGTAGACGATAATGCATTTCCAGGCAGAAGTGTACTAAACTATAAGCATAAGATTTAGCTGTCTAACAACGGACATCCAGACTCACACGACATAAGCATGTGATACTAAATGGAGACTCACAGAGATATAACATCAAGGCCCTCAGCGTACAACATTTGCAGCATTCTTGCAGACAATAACGGTGGTGACCGGTTTGGAGAGGAAGCTAGCAACTCACACAAGTACTGATCATAATCAGCATGGGCATAGAGGGGATAAGCTGACAATGGTACACACAGTTTGCTGTATGGATGTGCAACTCGAACATAGTGTGGTTTGTCTGCATGTCCAGCTAGCACACGTTCAGGCATATTTACAAAGCTGTGAAAAACCACACCACACCACTCTCCTGAGGAACAGGCAAAAACAACATAACACAATTTGTCTCACAACAAAAGCTGACCTGTCCGCATGTATGCAAATACTCATACTGTAAGCACCAATACACACAGTGTATGCTTGTAGCTTGAACCAACACAAATCATCATCCATCTATACTGGTAAAGTAAAGGGCAAGAAAAATCTCTAGCGTTAGCGTGGGCATCAATTGACTCATATTTTTGGACATAATTATGTAATGATAACAAGCAACGTTCACGGAGAAACAGGTGGTCAGCTAACGTGTAGGCTGCGTCACTCACTAAAAAACAATATGCAATCATGAAACTACCTTCTGACTTCAATGCAGATCATAGTGACAACCTACAGGGTACGCGTACAGTACAAACCTTGGCTAAGCTGGCAGTGAAGGAGAATGCACTCAAACATCTCTCCCAGTTGTGGAGGGGAACTCGTCGCAGTATGGTCTCTTGAGGAGCGCTGAGACCTGGGTGGATGACGCCCGCTAGCGCCATCGGGAGGCGGAACATGGATGAAATCTTGAGATGCCGATTCAAACCAACGGCGCACCTAGCTGACGTGTGTGTGTGTCGTGTGTGCGATGGGAGGTAAATTCTGTACATGCAATACAATGAACTGAAAAGAGCATTACTGATGTGTGCACTAAGAACAAGGACCTACACTCCTTATTTATGAGAAATCGATTTTCATACGTGCGCTGTAATGTACATGTAAACCCTTGCGATGAGAAACATGGCATTGGACACAAGTGTTGAGCACTGTCGTTCAAACCCCGACTACCAAAACACACCCAAGTGTGTACGAGCGGGCCTGTACGATGGATGCTGATGCGCTGGGTTAGGTGCATAGAAAGGAGCTGCGAGGGAGAGAAAAGAAAGAATGGAGAAAGCGCACGCGGATTGAACCGAGAACGCCGTAGTTGAGGGGAGCAGGAGGCAGACAAGATGCAGAGAGGGAGGACTGAGAAGGAGAGAGGCGAGAGACCGGGGCGAGAGAATGTGAGGATGACGAGAGAGGCGAGAGAAGTTTGCGGGAGGTGAACATGTGAACACTATGAATGTACAGCTATGAACCCTGCGCTACCAACACCCGACACGCAACGCACGTATATAGCTAATTCCTCATGTACTATGATGATGAAGAGCCATACTGCATGCGAAGCATCTGAGTATAAACATACACCATAGCAGGTGGTACATCACACATCCAACACGCCGAGGCTGTGAGGCACATCACATACCTCGACCCAAGAGCGAATGAAGTGGGATTCAAACCACAACAACACACACAGATGTATCACTGCCTCATCACAACAAAAAAAATTGCACAATAGCCTTGATGCAGTTGGATGGCATGCGAATCACCTACCTTTTGATGGAATTCATATGCTTTTTTTTTTGTGGCACTAACCCAGTTCTATGTGTATGTACCGTTGTATCTTTACTGGACAAACATGATCTTAGAGCTAGCTAAGTACTTAAATCGCACATCTGATTGGTCCATGAGAGCGAGGACTCTAATTCGAGAGAGCAAATCTTCGCCGACTCTAATAAATAATAAACTTTCCGACTCTAAACTTTGGCACATCGCACCCACAAAAAAGTCTCATTACATTGGCGGAGTCACCACGTGTCTGTGAAATGGCTTGCACGGGAGAGGCCAAGAGAAACATGGGGTAGAAGGCCCCAGAATATCGTCTGCGAAACGCGCACTCTAACTGCGATCTTTCAGTTCGTTTTGCTCGACTTCACCAGTGAGAAGCAGACGCTCATTCGCCGTTACGCTGGCGCGCCGATTTGAATGGCGCGCACGCGTGCCATAGCTTCTAAACAAGTAGACGCTCGTCATGGAGGAAACTACGCGTATTGGAGCACCTTGGGGGCCCTTAGATGCGCTCGAACCACCAACAGCACAGGGCTCCTGCAGCTCTCTTAATGCGCCATAGTTTCCTGGACTCGCTATCTGAACACTGTGACTACGTTTGAAAGACGTTTTTGTGTACGTAGATGAGCGCTACACATATGTATCTGAAATTGAAACTCCAGCCAACCTAGAGATGACTACACTCTGACATTTGATACTGTATATCAACAGGGATGTGCAAGGGCAGCCTGCTATGTGTGTGCTCCTTCCCTGCGTAGCAGTCTACCTAGCCAATGAGGCTACATTCCTACTAATGTGGATACAAACAGATTCAGGTGACTAACACTTAGGTGACTGATGATGTAATGGAACTGAATACGATGTAAGTGTAGTACATCAGTCATTGCTGGATGTAGTATCGGTGGACAATGCTGTGTAGACATATGGATGCCATATCACAGGACAATGCAGCTGGATACAGCTGATGTCCTGACCTAACCACGTCTATGTAGCCACCCACAGCGATATAAGACCTTACCCTGTGGATGGGATACCTCTGCCAGTACTCCATTCACGATCACTGACAAGAGTCTAACTTCGCATGCCTGCCAACGCTTCCACCTTCTTCGATCGGCCAGGTCTGCCTCCAACAGTTGGTGCGCAACCCCTAGGCGAATAGTGACCCATGCACAGCTACTCCCTGTATCAAGCACAGGAGAAGGACACAAAGCCGCGGCGCCCGCCCGCGGGAGACACGACAGGGATACAGCCAGCGAGGCGCAGCAGCAGAGAATCGCCCGCGAGGCACGCCGACGGAGCGCCACGCCCGACTCAAGCAAGAGCAGCCCGCCGCCACCGGGGCCGAGGAGATCGAGACGATGGACCTTATCGCGTACAGCTCGCGCTCGCCCGCCCGGCACCGCGCCAGCCACCAAGGATACATATATGTATATCCCTCCCCATTGAAAGAGCATATGGACATAAGGTCTCGTCTAGGTCAATCACAACGCATTTCTTCTTGTCAGTCGGTGCCTTTGGTAACAGTAGGTGGTGTCTGGGTCCAGTCTATTGTTGTGGAATTGGAGAGGAATTGGGAGAAGAGGGAGTGAATAAGAAAGAAAAAAACTACATAGGATAGGTGGAGGGACAGGACAAGTTCCCCCTCCCCCCTTACCGGAGGAGTGCTGGGAGTGGTGTTTTGGAAGGTGGTCGCCCCGACGGCCGGTTCGTCTTTCTTCATACACGAGATGAGCCAGCGACAGACACACCAGGCACCGGACGAGAGTTTCCCAGTTTTCCCTCCGCCCCCTCCCCCTGCCCCTGCCTCCACGTCCCCATTAGCCGCCGCTCCGTTACTGTTGATACTGGACTCTGGCGAGGCAAACAGACAGATGCCACTAATTAGCCACACAGGCGAGGTAATAATGAGGTAACCAATAACAGAGCAACAGCCAGTTGTCTGGGAGCCATACTGTCACCATAGAGACATAACACACACCTCGTAATATGTATATACACCAGTCTATAGAATAGACCCTATAATTTACTTTACGTGAATAAACACGAGCATTCATGACATTCCAGACATAAATTGGCATTCAGCAACCTAGTATTATACATGTACATATACATACATACATACGTACATTATGCAGATAAATTGCAGTTGACTCTGCACAACAAAAATTGATGTGCAGTCTCTCCAGCTCGAGGATGACACACGTGTGTGCACAGGGGAACATGAAAACAAGACAAAACAAGGAAATGCTTGTACAGCCAGTTACACATCCCAGTGTGTCAACTGACAGTGTATATATACAGCGGATGGATGGGGTAATGGAGTGGAACCCCTCTCTTGGGACATCTCTGAAATGAAGACACCTCTCTAATAAAGCAACCTCTGAAATAAGGACCTTCTCGAACAAGGACACCTCTGAAATGAAGACACCTCTCTAATAAAGCAACCTCTGAAATAAGGACCTTCTCGAACAAGGACACCTCTGAAATGAAGACACCTCTCTAATAAAGCAACCTCTGAAATAAGGACCTTCTCGAACAAGGACACCTCTGAAATGAGGACACCTCTCTAATAAAGCAACTCTGAAATAAGGACCTCATCGAACAAGGACACCTCGCAAATGAGAGACACCTCTCGAATAAAGCAACCTCTCTGAATAGAGGCCCTTCTCGAATAGGACACCTCTGAAATGAGGACACCTCTCTATAAAGCAACCTCTGAACTAAGGACGCTTCTCGAATAAGGACACCTCTGAATGAAGACACCTCTCATGAACTAAAGCAACCTCTGTGAAATAAGGACTTCTCGAACAAGGACACCTCATGAAATGAAGACACCTCTCTAATAAAGCACTCTGAACTGAAATAGGACCTTCTCGAACAGGACACCCTCGCAATGCGGACACCTCTCTAATATATAAAGCAACTCTTGCCAATCAAGGACCTTCTCTGAATAGAAGGACACCTCTGAAATGAAGACACATCTTCTCATACAAGCACCTCTGCAAATAAGCGACATTCTCGACTAGACACACCTGCTGAACTGAGAATGAGAGACACTCTCTAATAAAGCAACTCTGAAATAAGGACCTTCTCGCATCAAGGACACCTATGAAATGAGGACACCTCTCTAATAAAGCAACCGCTGAATAAGGACCTTCTCGAAATAAGGACACCTCTGAAATTGAAGACACCTCTTTAGAGCACCTCTCCTCTGTGACATAAGGACTCCTTCTCTGAACAAGGACACACTCTCAAATGAAGACACCTCTTAATAAAGCAACCTCGAAATAACGGATCTCTTCTCGAACAAGGACACCTCTGAAATGAGGACACCTCTCTAATAAAGCAACCTCTGAAATAAGACCTTCTCGAACAAGTGACACCTCTGAAATGGAGACACCTCGAATACAAGCTAACCTCTGAAATAAGGACTTCTCGAATAAGGACACTCTGAAATGAGGACACCTCTCTAATAAAGACAATCCTCGGAAATACGGGACACTTCGCGACTAAGGACACCTTCTGAAATGAGCGACACTCTCTCTAAAAGCACAGCCTGTGCAAATAAGGAGCCTTCTCGAGACAAGGATCACCTCTGAAATGAGGACACCTCTCTAATATAAAGCAACTCTGAAATAGGGGACTTCTCGACCCATGGACACTCTGAATGAAGACACCTCTCTAGAGATAAAGTCAACTCTGAAATCGAACCTTCTCGACAAGACACCTCTGAAATGAGGACACCTCTCTAATAAGCAACTCGGACATAAGACTTCTCGAACAACGGACACCTCTGAAATGAGACACCCGCTCTAATAAAGCAACCTCTGAA